GGGTTTGATTGTCATGGGCCCCGCCACACCTCTGCGTTTTTACCTTCCTACAATTGGAGCAGCGCGATCCCTAGTTGGAGAAAAGAATGCTCTGACAGGAAAGATATCCACAACATCGAGCGCGTAATGACGGGTCCCATGGGGAAATCCTGTTCCCCCAACATTACGATTGAATCACCGGCGAGGAACGCTCCGGACAAAAGGACTGGATACGGCCCATTTCGGAGGTAGAACTGGATGGAGTTCCCGCTGCGAAAAGGTTGCGCGCTACGAAAGCAAAAAATCACTTTCTGTCCAAGCGACCCACACCCAAAGTAGGATAGTATTACCAAAATGTCATGCAGGTTCTCGCGAAATTTAGCTGAGATACGGTTCTAGTGTCCAGTCCCTGAATGGGTTTTTTGCAAGGGTTCCATACTGTCCCTAGCCGCGATGATTCCCGTGCTATTTCCCATGGTCGAGGTAACAGATCATAGACGTGGTATCAGGAATTTTTGATTACTTATCTTAATAAGGAGTGATAGCGAAGAAATAAGTAGGCTCTAGATAAAGTGTATTTATCCACATTTTGGTTTTCGATTTCCCTTCCGCAGGATTGCAAAAATAATGCCGAAAGTTCGAAACAGTCGAGAGCGAGAACAATGCGATTGAGCGATATCACTATTTAACATGCTCATAGAAATGTTAATTTGGGTACTATACTGTTGATTATACCACATTTTTGTTTTTAGGTAAGCAGTGGTTCTCATCACTTGGAATCAGTGCCATGCTCTTGCCCGTTGGCTCATGCCAGGGGCAGGGTAAAACCACGCGAACTGGCTTATAGTGCCGAGGATCTGGAGCAGGCAAAGAGGTATAGTTGTTTTTGTGTTGAGATTTTCTGGGTTGGTACCTCGTCACTTGTGCTGTTGGCTTATTTATTCAAAGTTTTGAGTTGAGTTACGTCATCGAATACTTGTTGGTAGTATGTTTTTGATTTCTTCGTATTTTCAGACTCTTATTTATTAATTCTGATTTGTGTTTAGAGTAGCAGAAAATGGGGAGCAGCCAGAGGAATTAGTTCCTATTCGTTTGGACATGGAATTGGACGGTGTGAAACTTCGTGACACATTCTGCTATAACAAGAACGAGAAACTGATTACACCTGATTTGGTTTGTATTTCTATTATCGCATTCGTTTTCTCTCGATAATATTAGGTTCACTGATGACTTATGGATGTAGTGAATGAGAAGTTGTTCATTTTAAGATTGCCGAAATGATGTGCGAAGATCTCGACTTGCCAACGAGCACGTTCCAACCAGCGATTGCGTCAGCAATATACCAACAGGTAGCAATGGTCTGTTATCGAAGAAGAATGAGAAAGCACTCTCAATAAAGGACGGGTTATGATTTGAAATGTCTCAGTGGCCATTCACGCCAGGATCATTTCAGTTGGAAGCAGCTGCTGAAGCACCGCCTTTGGATCCAAACGTAACTGATCAGCGGGCGATCATGAAACTTAATATCAACGTTGGAAATCAAAGTCTTGTCGATCAGTTTGAGTATGTTTACCTGGCCATATTTGCACCTTTTCTTTGCCAGCTATGGTAGTATTTCAGATGGGATATGTCTGACCCGAATAATAGTCCTGAAGAATTTGCGCGAAGTCTGTGCGCTGAACTTGGACTTGGAGGCGAGTTCACTTCTGCGATTGCGTACTCTATTCGTGGACAGCTACAGTGGAATCAGAGGACCTACGCATTTTCGGAGAGCCCGCAACCGACGGTGGAGTGCACTTTTAGGTGCGTTATTTTCCTTTGTGAGAAGTCCTTTTTACTAAGGTGTTTATGTTGGGAAAATTTCGGTATTTTAGAAATCCTGCTGAATCTGAAGCTTGGGGTCCATTCCTGGAGACGCTCACGGATGCAGAAATTGAAAAGAAAATGCGTGATCAGGATCGAAATACCCGGCGTATGAGGCGCCTTGTTGGCGGAGGATTCAATTTTTAAATGGATTTCAGTATTAAGATTTTTGGTTATACGGATAGTAATATTGATCATCCTTCTCAAGTTCTAATGTCTGTTTTATCACTTTATCTGAATTTGGATTTGTAGATATAATTTGCATTGAATGCTTTTTGCTATATGAATAGGTTTGTGGGTGATTATTTCTAAACATATTGTCGTCGTCTCAGAGCCTATCGTGCCAATATTATGAAACTATTTTCCGTGCTGTTGCGGAGCGGCTGCCACTGAAGCAATGGCACAACAAAAAGGCTAGGATGATAGGCTTATGTGGGTGGCGATTCTTGACTGTATCCATTTTCAAGAACCATTTTCATACTTTATTTTCTACGGTTTACTTCTCTTACTCGCGTCGCTGAAGTGAAATTGTGCTGTATGTAGTTGTAGTTACTTGATATTGTTAGCAAGTCATTTTTTGTATTTTATACTTTAAGAAACGCATTATTAGTCGTCGTTTTGTGGGTAGCTGCCCTTTTCTTCGTCAAGAAGGGATGAGGCGCACCTCGTGTTTATTGGGAATTTAATTGTATATGTATAAAATAAAAAATTTCAGAACAATGTCGGAAGCACTCGATGTTGAGATGGAAAACGAGGAGACCAGCGTGGCGAATGCCAAGTCGTCGAAGGTTGGTTCTGGTTGTATATTTATCATATTTAGTTTCTCAAGAATGTTTTTACCCTCTGTAAATATTTGAACGCTTTGTTTTGCGCTGCGGAATTCTCAGGCTTAGCATTTTTTGTTCTAATGATCATCCTATAGTTTATTTGCAATTATTGTGATGTATTTATTAGGGTCGTGGTGTTGGCCAACCGCGTCAACGAGCTGAACGAATTGTGTACGATGTTGTTGATAATGACGGCTCGGCAACCGGTCCTCAGCGATCAATTGAGGTGAGTTGGAGTTTGTTTTTTTTTCAAGTGGATCGTGGATAAGCACCGCTAAAATATTTTATTGAAGATATTGTAGGTTTACTCGGGAACGCTGTGGTCATTATTTTGAAGTAAGGAAATGAAGTGGTGCTCACTTTTCGGAAAAGTCCTATCGCTCTGAGGGCGAACGAGGTTTTAAGTCACGAGAAGCATGATGACCTCTCAAATAGGGGAGGGGGTGAAATAGCCCGATTTCCTTCTCAGGGAATCACGAATGAATACGTTTCTTCATCACACCACGTGATTATTTTTGTAGTACTTGATTCTAAGAGCAAATGACACACTCTAACTCCACTCTTCCTCCACAATTCCCTAAGTGGAAGTGGGAAGGGGGAGCATAGATTGTGAAATGGCAGATATGGCGGTTGTGGCGTCGCTCATTTTCTTCAACATTTTGTGTGGGAATTGCTAAAAATTTCTTCAGTTCCCAAAAAGCGACTCCCACAAACGCGGGCTTACCACAAATGCGGCTCCCTGCTTCGATATTTAGAGGGGCCCTTTAAACCTGCATAGGAAATTTGTTACGCTTTCGTACACCTTGTGGATTGGAGATGTCAGGTTGCCTTCTTCACACATTTCTTCATATTTCTGCACTGAATGCTCAGATAATTGCCCTGACTCGAAGTCTCTCCTTGGAATGACAATCACGTATCTGTTAAGATTGCTTTTTCTTCGATTTTTGGCTAAAGCGCTGCCAGCATTGTTCAGAAATGGGATTTTGTTCAAATTCAGATCGAGCTCGTAATTTAACTTTAACAGAAATGGATCATTTTGCAATTACAAGAAAGCGTTTGCCTCCACTT